TCCCGGCTGACTGCGGGGGGGTGGGACTAGATGGCCTTTGGAGGTCCCTTCCAGACTGGGCAATTCTATGATTCTGTGAGTCTGCAGCCTTTGTAAACTCTGGATGTGCCAGCCCTTTCCAAGTCAATCCTCAACAGGCAAAAAAAGGCGGTGCTCAGTGAGACTGCAGCTCCCAAGAAGAACAGCAGCCAAAATTCATCCCAAGCAGGGCAACCTGCACTCCCACTCCCTTGCATGGCATCACTAACTCCCGTCACCGCCGCTACGTGCAGTGCATCCATGACTCTGGGAGATCCTGAGGATGGACACAAATGCTCAGGTCCCCCAACAAGCAACTCGACCCCATGGATCAGCAAAAGCTTCTATTTCAGGGTCTGTCTCCTGGGTAGGTCAGGTTAAGAGGCAGATGCAGTAGAACTGCACGAATCAGGTTAGCACTGCTCTGGGAGCCCGTTGTTAAACCCAGACCAATTTTTGTCCTGGTAAGAGGAGCCCCACAAACCCTCAGGCAGCACAACCGAAGGAGCGCGTGGAGCATAATGCCTTTAAAGCCTTTAAATCCTTCAAACCAGCTTTAGTGCTGACCCTTGCACTGTGAAGTCACAGCTGCAGACACTCTGTAACAGGTTCAACTCAAGTTCTTCAGATTTCCAAAAGCCTTAAGAACCCCCTCTAATAAATGGAGCTCCTTCCAGCTGTTTCCCAGCCCTCTGTTTCCTCTAACAGACTGTCAGCTATGGTACCTCTGTGAGCGGAATAAAGCCTTCTACTGTTTTTTCCAAGCTTGGGAGTTCCTTTTTTTCCACATCAAGAGCAGCTCCATTGTTTTTCTGTTGGACAAAAGGACGTTAAGCTACTGATCAAGCAGGGATTTTTTTTAATTTTTTTTTTTGCTAGGGGATAGCACAGAAAATCTTGCTCATGTATAAAACGGGAAGGGTTTTTGTAGGCATATCCAACCAGCAAACTCCAAAGTTACTTTTTATTGGTGACTGCATTCCAACTGCACACCCATGGAGTGCTGCACTCAAAATTAAACGGAGGCAAGAGAGGCAGAAAGTTAAGTTTGGCTTGGACTACTGTGAAGAACCCCGGCAAAGCCTCCACATGCAGGTATCAACTTGAGATTGACATTAATATTTCTGATTTCCATGATTCAAATTTTATTTTGGATCTCAATCCTGACCAGAGAGAAAAGTCAAAGGGAAGCACTTCCTATCTCACAGAACAAGAGGAGACTAAAGACACCATTCAAGTCTAGCTTTGCACGTCAATGAAGTCTGTGCAGTAAAGATTTTGAGGCTATACCCAACCAATTAAAGGGGAAGAACAAAAAGAGTATAGTGTAGTGTGCTCATAATAGTCCAGAAACACAATTAATGGCAGCAGAAAACCCTTTTTACAATAACACTACTCATCAAATAACGCTCCCACTTCCCCAGGGAAAACCAACCTGGACAAACACAAGAGTGTCGTGTTTGTCCTTAAGTCATGTGAGTGAAGATTACAAAAATTCCTGATCACAAAGAGCTGTATTTTCCTAAAAAAGGGAAATAATGAATAACACAAGCTTACCCCTGCAACGGCTTGTTCCACTGCTCTTTCCTGAAGTTCTTCTGGCGGTGGGGAGCAGCTGTGAGAAGAAGGAGAGAGAAAGAGAGAGAGAGGTGAGCTGTGTCTCTGTACTCTCCCATGTAACTCTCAAGAATTCACCGTCTGGGGAAGAAGAAAATGTTCCTTTGACTCGAACCCATCCTACTCTATCAGTTCTTTTATCTCCTCCTCTCCCGTCGAGCTTAGGTGAGCCACTGACAATTTAAGCACAGAACAGTGCTCCACAGCTAAATATAGCACTGGTGTTTAAAGCAGGGAGAGGAATAGGAAAAGAATGAGCTAAAAACCCAGACTGCTGCAATTGAATCTCTCTCTGCTCCCAGCCACGCTTTCTCCTCTCTCATTTAGGGGCAGGTCACCGCAGAAGGATGCGTGGGTCAGACTGCCAAACAAAACCTCTCCCTGTAGCTGCACTCACTACAACCAAAAACCCATTTCCCTCAACAACACAAAGCCACCTGAGCTCCTAGTCCTGCCAGCTTCCTTTTTCTGGCTCTCCTCTTCAAACCCAAGACACCCTGTAAATCACGACGACGGCCTCAGTCCCACCAGGCTTGACAAGCTCTCTAGCCCTTACGCTTAAGATCCCAGTTTCAAAGGGAATGAAGTGGTTTGGCAGAAAGATTCACAAGCAAAAATGGATTCTGCAAATCCAAGGCCAACTCGGTCCGTCCCTCACTCCCCCTTCACTGCCTTTCTTCCCCCAGCAAAGGAGCCAGCAAACACCACCCCAGCAGAACCCTGTTTGTCACACAGCACGGCTCGAGCACAGGGGCTGTGTTTGAGATGCAACTGGCTCGAGAGCAATTCCAGAGCCACAAGCTAGCTCTGCCACAGCACAGCATATCAACAAATACCATTTGTCATCTTCTGGCCACTACTGGAGGCTGAAAGAGACACACACAGAGCCAGAAGAAACAAGAACTAGGATTAAAAGAGACTCTACCTCGTCATTTCAATGTCCTGAGGCTCTGGGCAGCAAACATCAATATATTTGACACCTGCAGAGAAAAGCATTGATATGAAAACAATTAAGTCAACTTTCAAAAGCCATCAGATGTATGTATCTCTCGATTTCTGGGTGATAAATACAAAAAAAAATATTTAAATGATTGTATGATTGGGAAGTTGGAACTCCGGCAAGCAGTTTGAACTTTGAATATCATGTGGGAGCGTAAAGGAAATGCCCTGTTTTGATCTGAAGTTTACCTACAAAGTGGAATAGATCTGAATCATGGGGATACTCACTGGTCATTGGTGGTGCACACGGATAGACATCTCCTCCAAGTTTTGGTGCTTCCAGGTAAGTCATCGGTGGTTCCTTGGAGCCTTGGACTTGACCAAGCAGCAAACCTTTCGGAGAAGTCAAAGAAAAGAGAAGGATTTTTACCTCAGATATGGAATTGTCTTGCGAGAAAGGGGTGGTGTTTCCTCGAATAAGTAAGCATTGGTTCCACAAGGCATCTGACCTGCTCAGTAAAAGCATAAGGCATCAGTAACTATAACAGGAAACCAAAGAGTTTTATGAGTTTACAGTAAAGAGCTTCACCAAAGATAATTTTTTATTTTCTCTCTTATATCATAATATCATTTGTGTTATGTCACTTTAGGATATTTTCAGGTTTTCATACTGGCAACTACAGGGAGTTGCGCACACAAGGTATTGCCAGCCAAAACCTGAAATAAGAAAGGGTTATCAGGATCTACCATCTAAAATTTAGCATGTAAAACAATTTCCTTCTGGCAAGCTAATAGTGGATGTATCAGAACTGAAGGACTGCATCCGAGGCACACACTCCGGTGTTCCCAGGTGCTACCTCAGTATTGCACCTGCAATAATCCCAACACATCTTCAGGGGTACAGCTGTACGGGACACAACGTAGGGTGAAAAAGAAACAAGTTCATAACTTGATGTCAGCCTTACCAGCTTGTAGTGTTTCCTCATCTAGCGTAGAGAGCCTTCGTCTTTTAGCTGCTGGTTCAAAAGTCTTAAATGAAAACAAAAAAAAAAAAACCAAAATGAAAACAACATGAGTAGAACTCAAATGTGAATCCAAGCAAACAGAAACTTCCTGAAATTTAGTCAGCTCTGTTATGACTTGGGGACCATGATTTATTGGTTCAGATGGCAGAAGAATGCAAGACTTTGCACCATCTCTGACAAGTACACTTTAGTTTTTTAATACAGGCTCTCATACCTGCAGTGTTTGAGAGTGATTAAACCAGTACATGGTGGTGATTAAGACATGCGATTAAAACAGTACAAGTTTTATGCAGTGATTAAAACAGTACAAGCTTGTCCCTGAGTTATCAGTCAATCAGCTCCTAAACATTCCCGAGTGTGATAGTTTAGCCCTTGAAAAATATATTTTGTACAAATAAGAGTTAATCACCCTCTCGGGTACGAATAATTAGAGCACAACAGTTTCTTATTCCTCTTACCCTATGGGGCAAAAAGAAAACTAGCACTACACCTTTGAACCAAACTAGGGAGTCAAGCAGTTTGTGACTCTTTTTTACAGAGCCCAAGTCCTACAGGAATCCTCTCCTGGCCTGCTGGATAATGAACTTAGCAGAAAGAGGTTTAATCAGAGGAAGTATGCCATTTTTCTTGTAAAGTAGTCTATTTTGATTCAAGCTACAAGCTTGAGAAAGAGACTGGCAGTTTACAACGTTTGTGTTTAATGTGTTTACAAACACATTAAAACCATAAACTTGAATGACTGTAAAGCATCTGGAAGCCAACATTTTGCTCCTTCCTCAGCCACAGGTGCTAGAGCAGCGCACGCAGCGTGAGGGAGGCCAACCCAGTGCACAAGAGGGCTAGAAATGGCAAAGGACCATCTCCAGGTACAGGCTCAGAGCAGGCCCAACTCCAAGGCACATAAGGGAGAGCCTCTCGCTCTTTCATCTCACACAGATTCTACCTCATTTCAAACCCCTTGCTGACCTCTTTCCCAGACTCTGTGCTGGAAGCATCATCGCTGCCTGAAGGCCTCCGGCGCTTGGTCGCCCTAGTTGGCAACTTCACCTGAGTAGAGACTTCTTTGACTTTCTCTTTAACTTGAGAGGTGGTATGATCTAAAAAAGCAAAGACAGGCCATATAAGAACACGATCTAAAAAGGGATTAGGATTTCTATTTGCATCAAAGCCCATCTCCTTAGTTCCACCAAGAGCAGTGCAACCCATTTCAAGTTATACACCCCTCTGCCAACAGCAGGTGGTGGCAATTTTGGGATTAGCTGGCTGAGCAGCCCTTGAGAGCTGGAACTCAAGAATAACCAACCCGTGAGTCTGCCAGCCAGAACTCCAAAAAGCCCTGCTTTGGGGAACATTCCCTGTGTCCGGAGAAGCAGCACATGGTGCAATTTATCTTCCTCACTCAGTACCGCATCTAAACGTCCCTTAAACACAGCCAGGGACGGTGACTCAACCACCTCCCTGGGCAGCCTGTTCCAATGCCCGACCACTCTCTCTGTGAAGAATTCCTTCCTAATGTTCAATCTGAACCTACCCTGTTGGAGCTTGAAGCCGTTCCCTCTCGTTCTATTGTTAATTACCTGTGAGAAGAGACCAGCCCCAACCTCTCTACAGTGTCCTTTCAAGTAGTTGTAGAGAGTGATGAGGTTTCCCCTCAGCCTCCTCTTCCTCATACTGAACAGCCCCAGCTCCTTCAGCCGCTCTTCGTATTATTTGTCTTCTAGGCCCTTCACTAGTTTCGTTGCCCTCTTCACTAGTTTCGCTGCTGAAGGGAGAAGGGACAGGGGAGCAAGATACCAATTTGACATATTTTTCAATTGGTTTATGCTCTTAAGCCTGAAAAGCACACTGAGTTCAGCAGCCCCTGCCATCAAACACAGGGCAGCATCGTTTGCCAAGCACTAACTAGGAAGCTCCACGTCCCCTGCAGAACTTGTGCTGGGAAATGCCATACAGCCTAAAGAAGATGATTTCTCCCTCTTTATTAGTAAAGATGAGAAAGGGGAAATGGCCATCTCAAATCATGACCAAGGCAGCTGGCATCCAAAGGCACCAACATGGCTGTAGGCAGCTGCGTCATTTTACCCTTGAACATTTTGTGGAGGGGGTATCCGAGAAAGCCTCACCGAGGAGAGCACTTCTGTACCCTGCTGTTCTCTCCTCTGCTTGGCCTCTGCTGCATCTCCATCCTTCTTCACTCAACCTTCCTCTGGCTTTTCAAAATTTTCAGATTCAGGCTAAACTTCTGTTTTCAATTTGGCTTTCCATTTTTCTCTGCCTGCCATCAGTTTGAAGTTACCTTCCTTCACATCCCAGATTCTAGGTGCTTTCTCCTAAGACGTGCGGGTGTTTTGAACCGACAGAGGTACATTGCGAAGACAGAGAGGAGGGAGCACACAGCTTTGATTTAAAATACTCTCTCTGCTGCCATGCGTGGGCTCACCGCCTGAGAGACGCGGGATATCTCCTGCTGGCAGTAGAAGTATTGTGCCCTGCCACAGCCAACACAGAGAACATCCTATATAGTGCTATATGACACACCCTCAAGTCACCGGCCATACAGATGGCCACAAGGAAAGAACAGCTTGAAAAAACACAGTTTTGGGAACAACGACAGAGTCAAAAAGCCCGAGTTTTCTAAGGTGCATGAAACCTAAGAAAAATCAGGCATATTAAACACTTCTGTAATGTGCAATACCTGATTTTCTCTTCTTTGCTGGAGGTGTGTCGCCCGACGATTTGCAAAAGCTGGGGAAAGAACAGACAGAACAGTGTTTTGCAACCTCAGGTAAGCTTCTGCCAGGTTGACTTCCCTTCACAGGGCCCAAACTTCCAAAGCTACTTTTCATAGCCCGAAGGTCTCCCCCTCCAAGTGCCCCTGGGATCATCTCAGACACACACCCCCCCCAACTGCCACCGCTGAGCATCCCTTCCCAGTGCCCCCCAATGCTCACAGAGGGCTAATTACCCCACTACAGCATATTAGGCTGCTTTTTCTCGTTCTGTTAATGTTTCCTAACTTATTTGGTTTGTTCCTATCACCAAAACCTTCCTGAAGTTAGTACATAAAGTATTCCTCTTTCCTGAAGGAAAGCAGCATACCAGAGATTACTAAACCACTTAAAGAAAAGTCTAAGTAGGACAGGAAATCAAAGGTGGGAAAGCAACTCATGCACACACCCACTTCAATAACTTCCTGCTAAATCAGTGCTCCTGAACTAGTTCTTGAAATGATTCTTAGCTGCATCCTTTCTTACTAAGTGTAAGTCCAAGTATTGTATCGGTTGATGACAATGATAAAATCTAATTAAAATTTTTGCTTTGGGAACAGAGCAAAAAGGTGGTTTCTGGTTGCTTTGTTTTTTTGTTTGTTTTTTTTTTTTCTCTACTTGCCCCACAAAGTGCCAGGACAGACACCAAGGATTCTTTATCTTTCTTACACAAAACAATTACTTTTAAACTGTTGTGCACCCAAACCATGCTGGTATCATCGTTTCTGGACTACCTTCCATCTCTACCAGGAACACAAAAAGTAACTGATATCCTTAACAGCACCTTTCATACAATATACAGAATATTTGCTATCACTACGCTATTAAACTCAGGCAGAAAATATTGCAGGGCAAGTGTTAAAGGCAAATACACTCATTTGCCTTTTTACAGTATATCTCAAAGAGCAGTGTTGAAAAACTGATTTTCAGCAGGACAGCTTCTGAAGCTGTCTGACGCAGTTTGGCTTGAATTTCACCCTAATTGCTTTGCCTGTCCCTCCCAGTGATCTCTTAGCAAAAGTGGCTCTCCTGGTCAGGCCGTGACACAGTCTGCAGCGTTTCCAAAGCCACATTCTTCAGTTTGGGATTGTGCTCTGCAAGGCACCTGTGAACAACTCCTCGTGCAACAAGTGGCTCTTTCCAGAAGACGTTCACTTTTCCCATTCCCTGTGGAACAGGAGACACTCCGCAGAGCCTCCTGGAGCAAGTTTCTCCCGGAGGCAGCAACCATATTCCCCAAATCATGGCACGTCATTCATACATGACCTCTCTTCTGAGAGACACAAGTGGCAGGCACAGAGATGCCTTTGCCATCTGTCACTGGGAGCTCTGGGGCACCAGCAACAGTTAACATCTGGGAGGGCACCCCCTTTCTTCCACTGCACATACAAACCCCATCCCCATGCCGCCACTTCCCTCCATCCAATATACCCCTAGATGTAGATATACTGTTCCCTGCTCCTTCAACACTCCAAGTCTCCACCCTTTTTTTTTTTTTCTCTCCTTTTCAAACCCCCACACTGTGCAGACGGGGAGCGAAGGAGGGAGTGGGCTTGGACTTCTGGGGAACATCTGGAACCCACCATCATCTCAGCATCGGGAGTGACCAACTGATGGTGGGCACAGGGCGACCCGACAGCGGCATGAGCCACAAGCCAACAGCCGGGCCAGCAGGAGGGGGACCAGGGTGGGAGAGGGCACTTGGGAGCCCACGCCGAGCTCTGCCGCCCCGGACTCGAACTGGGGGGGGCTCTGGGCGGGCAGAGAGGCCGAGCCCAGCCCAAGATCGGGGGGGAACCCCAGGGCAAGACACCACACTGCACCCCAGCCCGCAGAGCGACTCACGGCTCCAACCCCTCAGGCCGAGGCGCTGGGGCCAAGGAGCTGGGCGGGCTCCCGCTCCCCCCAAGCAGGCCCCGGGGCGGGGGGGTCCCGCAGGCCCCAGAGCCCGGGCAGGCCGCGGAGGGTGGGTTTGGCAATGGGGCAATGGGAAGGGGCGAGGCCCTCGGGCGGCCCGGAGGCGGCGGGGCGGCTCGCTGAACTGGGGGGCGGCCTCTTGGGCGGCGGCGGGGAGGGCGCCGAGGGCCCCCAGCAGACATCGGTACATAGGCCCTGGGCCGGGCCCGCAGCGGAAGTGCGCATGCGCGGCGCCATCTTGGCGCTCCGGGAGGGAGCCGTTAAGGGCCGCCCAAGCGGGAACGTCCTCCTCCCAACCTGGGCCGGCCCGGCCTCGTCCCGCCCACCCCGCCTACGTCTGGGCGAGGAGCTTTCCTTCTCAGCAAGCCCCGTAGCCGGGCCCTGGGCGGCCGTGGAGGCTCGGGAGCTCCTCTTTGGCAGAGAGACGCCGGTCTCCCCTTCGGGAGAGAGAGGAGAGGAGGCTGAAGGGAAGGCCGCAGGCGCCTAGCAGAGGCCCGAGGGGCTACTCCAGCTTCCCTTCCGCTCTCTTTGGGGGCCTCCGAGGGGCCCCACGGAGGACCTGGAGGCTGGAGAAGCCGGTCCGCCTCCGGGAGGAAGGAGGCGGGCCCCGGCACCGGGCGCTGCGAGCTCTTGCGCGCCCTCTCCTGCCTCCTATCCCCTCAGGCCGTGAGGGAGGAGCTCTTTTGGGTTTACCGAAGGCTCGCCTGCTCGCTCGCTCGCCGTTTTGCTGCCCTCTTGCGGGGAGCTCCGGTGGCGTCGGCCGGCTGCGCCATCGCTGCCGCGTAACTAAGGACGCGGACGGTGCGTTCTCCCGTTGTAACCAGGCGGTGGCCCCTGCCACTCTGGGGCTGGCGAGCAGGCTGGCGAGTGTTGGGCTGGCTCCTGGTGGCCTTGGCTAGCTCTTGGAGGGCAATCCTTCGCCCTGCCAAGGATTTCCCTGCCCCTTTGAAGACGGTGCTTGCCAATGGCTTCTCAGCTGTTGCCTCTGAGGTGGAAATGTGGAGGTGTTGGCTGCAGCCACGTCCTGCAGAGGCTTTTCCCCATGAGGAGTGAAAATAAATGAATAAACTTAGAGCCTAAGAGGAGCAAACCGGGCAGATGAAAGTGCTCGGGGCAGGAATGATCCTGTGGGGCAGCCCTTGTGCCAGGAGGTCCCACTGGCTTTTCCCGCCTGCAGGAGAGTCTGAAGTGATGGTGGTGCCTGGTTTAATTAAAGCGAGCTTCCTCATTGCTTGAGGAAGTTAATGATTGTTCCGCTTCTGCTTGAGGGCTTTGGCCAGGGAACGTGCCCGAGTCCTGGCTGCAGGAGTGCGCTGTGGCAGTGGGTGCAGGCAGGGTGGGCGGCTGAAGCAGCCCGGCAGAGGGCATGGCAGCCTCACGCAGGGCCTGCCCTGCTCCTGCTGCTTGGAGATGCTGCTTCAGTCATGTGAGACTGAGATTAACCTCACTACACACGGAATAAAACAAGGGATGAACAGCAGCCCAGCAGTAGCACATATCAAAACAAAGCCCACCTTTTTCCACCAAGATGTTCCAAAGACACCACTCCACCGGTTGACATCTATCAGGGACTTCCACTTTTGCACCGGAACATGTGCTAGCTTTCTTATATTTGTTGCTATCTGTCTCATAGCTTGTCCATTATCATCAATTTTAAGACAACACTCTGATGTATTATATTTACCGCATATTCCACCTTCTTCTGCCAATAGGTAATCTAATGCCAACCTATTTTGATGTATTGCCGCTCGCATCTGTGTTTGTTGGACTGCCAGTAAGTCTAATGCTGAGGCTGTTTGATTAGTAATCACTTCAAGGATGGCTTGTAGCCTAATTATTCTATTGAGCATATAAATAGGTGTTCGATATCCCCAGCTACCATCCTGTGCCTATGTTGCTGGTCCATAAGTTTCTATGATGCGTTGAGGGGACCATTCATCCCGTCCCCATTTCTGGGTCCCTCCTATTTCAATAGTTGACCGTTTCTCTCTCAATCCATCATACAATTGTACACCCAGCCCAGCAGCCCGTGTATCAGGAAGAAAAAAAAAAAGGCATTATGTAAACAACATAACATATTCCTGACTAATTTGGGGGTAATCTTCGATAAGTATAGTTTCCACAAATTCAGTAATGCCCCTCTAAAGCCCAAGCCCCGTCAGCGAGTGGACCATCCCATGTTTCATTGTCTTGCGGTGCCTCATAATACAGTGGTTTTCCGGGGCCCAGTGGTCCTCCCGATATGCTTAGATCTATCTCCATTTGAGTCACAGTAGTCATATTTAAAGGCCCCTGCATCTGGGTCCTATTTACAGTTACATTCTTTCTCCTTCTTTGTTCGATTTGTGGCTGACCAGAATTTTGTAAAACATTTCCTAGTCCCATTTGGATTTTGCCAAGCCCATTGATCTACTTTTATGACATGATCTTTGCTAGTAGTGTTGTCCCTCTGGCAAACCAAGAAAAAAAGTCCTTAAACCCTCCCTTTTTCCCTATCTCCCTACCTGCTGCCAAGGTTCATGGAAGGAACACCTTATCCAAGTACCATCTCTAAGTTTCACATGTGTTTGATTTCATCTTCCTCGGTACCTTTGACAATTATAAGGGGTATACAGTGAACTGTAACAATTTATTCCTGGTGACAACAATAGTTCTCCTTCCCTGGGTACAATATTTTCCATGCCACTCTTTCTTTAGACTAAAACTTAGTTCTATTGTGTATTGTACTCAAGTCACTCACTAACTATTTGGGCTGGACAGGTTGGGCTACCTATGGCCACTTTTCGGACCCCCTCGGACTCCCACATATCCAACAATTACTCAAATTGAAGCTTTTTGCTATTTCATTTCTTAATGTCACAACTTGGTTGTCTTTTATTTGATTGTAACATAGAGGGATGATGGCAAGGTTCATTAGTGTGATAACAAAGCCTGCCAAGGTCTGGCACGGCCCTCCCTCCCATCTCTCAACGCCTCCTGGGTTGCAGCCAGCAGCGGAGATCATTCACAGAAGAGGAGGGAAGAGACCCATCCAGTCTTGCCCTTGGCTTTAACTCCTATAGAACCTTTTGCTGATACTTCCTTCTGTTGTCACTTTCTTTTACCACCCTCAAATTTAAAAATTCTGTTTCTTAAGAGTCAGTTTTAATGGGTCACTTCCCTGGATTACCGTCCACTCTCCTGAAGGTGGAGTCATTGGTCCTTTTACTCGAGTAGCATGTGTCCATTCTTTTTCTTTAGTTCTCACGGCTGCTTCTGTTGTCAGGAGTGCCAGGAAAGGTCCTTCTCACACTGGGGTCAGGGTATTTTCTTGTCAGGATTTCACTAGCATCCAGTCTCCAGGCTGTATCTGGTGTAGTCTAAAGTCCAGCGGAGCTGTTTGAGGCAGCAATCCACGTCGTCTTAAATCTGTAAGAGATTGGGCTACGCCTCACAGGTAATTTTTAAGGTAAACATCATTAATTTCAGGAATTGGTACTCCTCCTTCCCTGATCTCTTCAACTCTAAAAATTCAGTGAAATTCAGTGAAATTCCCAAATATAGGAGACCAAATAGCATTTCATATGGGGATATTCCTAAATCTTTCCTCGGAGTAGTTTTAATTTTCAGTAAAGCAGGGACAGGCATTTGGTCCAGGATAGCTTAGCAAATATCATCTACAATGCTCTGGAAGTGAAATGGGTTCTCCTATTAGAATTTATCCTTTCTATTATTCCATATCAGGGAATAACTTGCTCTAGTAAAATCTTGACAACATTGGAAACGGTAGCAGTAGTAGTAGGAAAGCTTTTAATTTAGTATGTGAAATGATCCACTATCACTAACTGGTATTTTCACCTCTAGGGAGTTCTGTGTAATCCACCTGGATACTCTGGAATGGTCTGAGGGCTAATTTTCACTCTTCACTAGGGCCTTTTTTTCATCACTTTCTTATTGACTTTTTGGCAGACCATACATTGATCTCCTATTTGTTTGGCCACAGCATATACACTCAAACAACTGTAAGTCTTCAAGACCTGGTCACATAAAGCTTGTGTTCCCCAGTGAGTTTGTGAATGCACTCTGGACAGGATCTCTCGAGTAATTGCCTTATTTAACATCTGTCTCCCATCCGGGAGAACCCATTTACCTTCCTGAGTCTTTACACACCCCAATTTTTGAAAGGATTTTTTTGTCTTTTTCAGTAAATACTGGTAACTTAATAGGCATCTCCTTACCAGGTATTAAAGTTTGCATCTTGATGACTTTTTCTAGGGCTGCTTCTTTTGTCTGTTCATCAGCTAATTTTATTACTTCTTGTTTTTGGTGTATTCCCTTTTGGTGTTCGGCTACATACACTACTGCAATTTCTTCTGGTTTATCCAAGGCTTCCAGTACTTTTGACACTAATTGTTTGTGCACTAATCGTTTTCCCCTAGATGAGAGTAGTCCCTTTTCTTTCTATATCTTCTTAAGGGTACAAACTACCTTAAAGGTATATTTAGAACCTGTGCATATTGTTCTATTTTCATAACACTATTTTGTACACTATTCACAATTGCATATTCACTGTGATGCTTATTCATTTATAAAGATTTTTTTTTCTCTCAGGCAATGGTTTCTCCTCTAAATCCTCTCGCCATATTTTAGAATCTCATAATTAGTCAGGCACCTTCCGGACTTCTGGCTTAATATTGTTCTCACTATGCAAGGAGTGGATACTATCAATGTCCCCTCAAAGGTCAATGTCTTGCTTTTCTTTACTAGTACAGCAGTTGCCACCACTGCTTGCACACAGGTTGGCCACCCTTGTGACATCAGGTCCAACACTTTGGATGGACAGGCTACTGGTTGTTTCTGCCCTCCCCAGGCCTGAGCTAACACTCCGTAGGCTATCCCACTCTCAACATTTACATCAAGATGAAACGGCTTCTCTAACAATACAGGTGTCTGTATTAACTTGTGTTTCAATTTTTCAAACTACTTTTTTTTTTTTTCTTCCAAGAATTTAACATCTTGGCTGCCCGAGGTATTTTGCTTTCACAAATT